TTCCCTACTCTTAGTAAACTTTCATGAATCTGTCAATCATGAAGTTAGCTATACTCTTTAGGAACCCTCCCCACCTTTTCTTCTGGCTGCACTGTGCTACTTGCAGGATCTTAGTTCCCTGACCAGGTATTGAACCTGGGCCCTGTCAGTGAAAGAGTCACGTCCTAACCGCTGGACCACCAGGGAATTCCCTCTTTTAGAACCTATTTTTGCTTTCAGCTTTCAGTTTGGAATAATGATTTTTTTTTTTTTTTTTTTTTTTTTTTGTGGTACGCAGGCCTCTCACTGCTGCGGCCTCTCCCGTTGCGGGGCACAGGCTCCGGACTTGCAGTCCCAGTGGCCATGGCTCATGGGCCCAGCCGCTCCGCGGCATGTGGGATCTTCCCGGACCGGGGCATGAACCCGTGTCCCCAGCATCGGCAGGCGGACTCCCAACCACTGCGCCACCAGGGAAGCCCTTGAATAATGAATTTTTATTTGGAGATAATCATAGAGATGGGCAGGGGGTGCCAGTCTGGGGGCTCCTGGGCCTCGGGGTCATTCACTCCTTGAAAGGGGGCTCTTTGGGAGCAGGTCTGTTTAAGCTCCCAATCAAGCCTGCTATGGGAAGGTGGGAGCTCTCCCTGTCTACGCCACCCCACATCGCCAGGTATAGTGTCCAAACTCCTGTCTGGAGAGCAAGACATTTGCCCAGCTGCACCTTCATCTGTTGAAGGGACCTGAAGACTCCTCCAAGGTGGGAAGAAAGGTCTAATATGTCATTTGGTGATCATCACACTCTCCCCACATGTTGGTAAGCCATGAGTGTGAATTTACTGAAGACTTTTAGGGGTAAGTGCCAGCCAGACAGTGAGGGCCTGGCTATTCCAGCAGCGTCTGCATCGCCTGGGAGCTTGTTAGTGATGCAGACTCTCAGACCCACCTGATGGAATCAAGACTAGGTTGTAAGGTTCCCCATGTGATTGGTGATGCACAGTAAAGTTGGAAACACTGCTCTAGAACAAGGCCCATTCCCTGACATTGATTTAATGGACTTGTTTTGAATTGATTTATGGAGCCGAACTGACCTTGCTCTTTCAGAATTTTGTTGATTTCACCTGGAGAACCTTCCAGTAAAACATAAATCTGCCAAAATAGTTTCCAAGCTCGATTATCCCAGACGGAATCCCCTCCAAGGGCGTGGATGTTCTGAAAGCTCAGGATAAAATGTATTCCACATCCCTGAACTTTGCGAGGGTGACACTTTGGGAGTGTGGTGGAGAGCGAGAACCTCCTTTCAGGGCCAGCTCTGAAGCTCGGCTCTGCATTGGTGGCAACTTTTCCTGCCACACCTGAGAGGACCTGGGCTCTGCCCCCATGGAGAACAGTTACAGTATCTCCATCCTCACCTGTGGTTTCCCTTCACCAAAGCCTGGCAAAGAGGTGACCCTTCTCAGGATTTTCTGAACAGAGCCAGCGGCCCATGGCTATCAAAAGAGTACATGAGCCTACTATCAAAGGGCTTAAAGAGACACAGAATCACCCAATTAGAAAGTGGTATTAAGCAACCTATTTTTCCATTGACAGATGAATGGATAAAGAAGTTGTGGTACATATATCCAATGGAATATTACTCAGCCATAAAAAGGAATGAAATTGGGTCATTTTAGCAATGTGGTTGGACCTAGAGTCTGTCACACAGAGTGAAATCAGAAAGAGAAAAACAAATACCGTATATTAACGCATATATACAGAATCTAGAAAAATGGTACTGATGAACCTATTTTCAGGGCAGGAATAGAGACAGAGACGTAGACAATGCACTTGTGGACACGGCAAGGTGGGGCAAGGGGAGTGTGGGACGAATTGAGAGGGTAGCATTGACATATATACCCTACCATGTGTAAAACAGATAGCTAGTGGGAAGCTATCTGATCTCCCTGCTGTATAGCACAGGGATATCAGCTCGGTGCTCTGTGATGACCGAGAGGGGTGGGATAGGGAGGGTGGGAGGGAGGGGATATGGGGGTATATGTATACATATATCTGATTCACTTTGTTGTACAGCAGAAACTAACAACATTATTAAGCAATTATACTCCAATAAAAAAAAAAGAAAGTGGTATTAGCAGGTCTACAACATCCCATATAGCAGGAGATGTAGCTGTTGAAAATAATTTTTTTAAGAGGTTGTTAATTTTACAAAAAGCGGATTGTAAAATAGAATTATAGTCTTTTCATTGTCATTTTATTTTATTATTATTATTATTATTTGGCTGCACCATGCGACTGGCAGGATCTTAGCTGCCTGACCAGGGATCGAACCTGGGGCCCCGGCAGTGAAAGCGTTAGTCTAACCACTGGACCTCCAGGGAATTCCCCTTTTCATTCTTAAATAAAAATATATCTCTAGTCAGAGAAAAAAATGCCTGGAAGGATATATTCCAAAATCTATGGTGTCAATGCTCATTAGCCATAGGACACCAAGAACATATGTGTAGTAGGGCTTATGGGCAGTGCGGGGCATCTGGGTAAGAAGATGCTAGAAAGGAATTAGTATCAGGTTTGAGCTTGTGGTCGGTGCTTTGGGGGTGGTTCAAGCAAGCAGGGCTCTGCTTTGAATTGGATGCTGCTGGGAAGCAGGGTAATTTTATGATTGGATATCTTAATAATTCACATCAAGATGAATGGAACGAGGTTATAATTGGTAATAACGAAACAAAAACAACAGTTACCCATTAGCCAGAATAGGGAGATGTCTGGTTCGTTTAGTGGTTTGGACAATCCTCTTGTTATTGTCTTGTGTAGATGTGATTACAGAATGGTCGTGTCTTTGTCTTGATCTCCACGATGGCAGTGGCCTTGGCTGATGTGGGGGTTCTGTGGAGCTGGTTATGTTCAATGGGAGAATGACAGGCAACATGCTTTGTCCACAAGACCAAGGCCCGGCTGTGAGTGTTGCCAGCTCTGGCCATCAGGGGCTGCTTTGCTCTTTCTTAGTGGGGGCACCTCTGTGTGTTGGGATTAAGAGTGATTTTCACTTTCTACTTCATATTCTGGAAAAAAAAAATTTTTTTTACAGTCACGTATTACATTTATCTTTAGAAAAATAGCTATTTCCTTTCTGAGGAAAAAAAAAAAACACCTATATAAGAAAATGCTAAACTGGATAAACCATATGCCAGTGCATTTGGTTTGGTGGGAGGGGCAGACAGCCCAGCTGAGTGCCCGGAACAAGAGTCACAAACGGTGTCAGCTCCACATCCTGCAGAGCAGCTCCACTCAGACACTTCCCCAGGAGGCAGGCTGGGCATGCCAGCGTTGAGTGTAGACTGGATGGAAATTGGGGTTGCTCAAGACCTCACTCCAGGGTCCAGGTGGTTAGAAACATGGCTGGCTTGTCAACACTGGGCGGAGGCCACCTGGACACCTTGGACACCCGCTTGGTGGGGCTGCCAGGTAAGAGGCAGTGACATGGCCTAGAGCTGTGGCTCTCAGCTTGGCCTGCGCATTAGAATCAGCTGGGTCGGTTGTCACCCTCCTACACCTCCAGGGCTCAGCAACCCTGACCAATTCAATCAGGATCCCTGGGGGGCAGGGCCCAAGCATGAACATTTCTTGGCGCCCCAGGAGATTCCTCCAACTAAACCCTGCTCCACCGGCCCTTGTTCATTCTACTTCTTTAATCGCTACCCTCGTCTTTTCCACTCCCGTCATCTCTAGTGCAGGTCAAAGCTTCACTTCTCTCAATCATCCCTGTCCTCCACACTCCCTGACTGATCTTTGTAAAAAAAATAATCGAGGTTACTGGTTCTCAGCTCTGGTAGGGTATTTGAATCTCCAGGGGAGACTGAAAAAGCATTCCCAGTGCCTGGCTCCACCCTTCGAGTTTCTGATTCCATTGGTCTGGGGTGGAGCCCAGGCGCTGGTATTTTTTTAAAGTTTTGCAAGGGATTCTGTTGGGCAGCCAGGGTTGAGAACCACTGCTTTAGGCTTTTACTCCCCAGCCCAGCAGGGAACAAGCAAAGGAGCTAACCCTGGAAACGGAGGCTCGGGAGTTCTTCAGGGCTCCTCTAGGGGAGCATGTCACAAAGGGGAGGGGCCCTTCTCCCCCATTTTGCCAGAGAAGACCACAGAGCTCTGTCTGTTCATGTCCGGGCAGCCAGGAGGGGTGGCGGGGGAGAAATTCAGCAGCTACAGTGATAGTACCTGGTGATGAGATGGTCCCTGGCCGAGGAGGACTGGAGAAGGAGAGGGGTGAAAGGATGGGAATTATGTCCTGGCTGATGTCCTGAATCACTTGAGGGGAACTTCGCGGAGGGCTGGCTCTCACAGCAGCAGATGGGGGCAGAAGCTGGGGAAACAGCATGCATGTCAGTGAACACTTGGTTGTGAAGAGCTCTGAGGCCCACAGTGGATGCTGTGGGGTCCTGCCCAGATCCCCTTTCGGGGCCCAGGCGCTCCACCCCCCGCGGCGGGGAGCTTGCCTGCTGACTGCTCACAGCCCAATCCTTCCCCAGGAATTGCACTCTGATGAAGGGAGCTGCCAGCTTCAAGGCAGTGCTCCCTCCCCAAGGGCAGCCTGCATACAATGACTAGTCGACAAGGAGGGGGACGGAGACCGGGGCCCTTGCCTTCTTTGAGGACATCCCAGCTTCAGAGCTCCCCGCGGGATCAGCTGAGGTATCTGGAGCAAGTGCATCCCAGTGCTTCCTCTGCCTCTGCCCTAATCCTGTTTCCCTCACTCCCCTGCAGGTGCTGCTCTGGCTTTCTCCCCAGTAAGCCTCCCCACGTGCAAATCTCTGCCCCAGGTCTGTTTCCAGGGTGCCCGACCTATGAGAAAGGCCCTTAATTTATGTGTGTGGGTGAAGGATGAACAGGGCTAGAGGGGTATGAAGGAGGGCTGCATTACAGCTGCTTTGGGGGCCTCATGGAACATTTGTAGGTTCAAAGGACATGAAAACTGCAAATCAGATCATATACCTTCCCTGCTTAGAATTCCTCGGTGCCTCCCTACCACCTCTGGGATAACTTCTGAGCCCCTCAGCATGGCTTCTGAGCTCTCTCGTAATCTAGCATGACCACCAGCTCCCCCTCGCCCTTGCTCTCCAGGCAGTCAAAACTGTCGGCAGTTTTCCAAACCACCTCTGCCTCTACACAAGCTACTCACTGTTTCTAGAAGCCCTTCTTCACCTGGGTCACCTGCA